AATAAATCATACATTTTCCAAGAATTGAGATCGCTTACAGGGACACCAGCTGTTTCAGGAGAACTTCCGGTGTAAAGTTTTAACCGGATGCTCGTGTTTTTGTTGTTCACTCGTTCGCTGTTTGAGTGAAAATCGACCTCATTCATCATTTTCTTATACCATTTATGTTTGGTTTTAATGTGGAAGGAGTGTTGATATCGAAAATGTTTATTATTCTTATCTACTAAGTTCTGAGAAGTAATACATACGAGATATATTCATTATTAACTTCAAAACAGACAATTGGGATGAAAAGCATGTTAGGATTTCCCCAAAATGAATCGAAAATCGCATAAAACAGATTATATAAGTACCAAAAATGCACACTTTTTAAATTCCTCAAACGTACTACTAGGGATAAGAACAATATCCGTATAATTATCCGACACCCAAACCCCTGATATCCAAACACAAAGCATCCGACAGAGAACATTAAGTGATAAGTTATTCTGAGGCGGAGGCAGCACGCGATATCCGGATGTTACCGGCTGCCTAACGTCGGTCTCCCTCCTCGGCGTCTGTATTTTCACGCCTTTGTGAATATTCACAATATTGATTTAACATGTGCGTTTGCCGAGACTCAATGCAACCCAGGGAGACGCGTTTGAAGTTCGGCGGAACTGCGCTTACGCCCCCGTCGATGTCGGGCAGAGCAGACGATGTCGGCGACGGAGGATTAGATTATCCGTTCACAGAGCTCGTCGGCTGTCGGGGAAGACCGACGGAGCGGTTCGATTGGCCGCCAAGACCGCCTTTTCGGGGTATGTTCGCTGTGTCGGGGTCGAGAGATAGTGTTTTGTTTCTGTCAACGGGCCGGTCGCTCCTTCTGCGGCGCCGTCGGATGAAGCCCCGGAATATCTCTTTACATGTCTCGCCCGTGTAAAGAATCAAAGGAATTTTTGTGGTTACAATGGACTTTACATTGTCGGTTGTATAAAAGTCACGGTGCGTATAGAAAGAACCTTTTAAATACGTATTATATTCTCTCTCTCTCGCTCTCTCTCTCTCTCTCTCTCTCTCTCTCTCTCTCTCTCTCTCTCTCTCTCTCTCTCTCTCTCTCTCTCTCTCTTTCTTTCTTTTTTCTCGCTTTCTCCCTCTCTTTATCTCTCTATCTCTCTCCCTCCCTCCCTCCCTTCTCTCTCCCCCCCCCTCTCTCTCACTCTCTCTCTCTCTCTCTCTCCTTTCTCTCTCCTTTCTCTCTCCCTCTCCTCTCCCTCCCTCCCTCCCTCCCCCTTCCTTCCTCTCTCTCTCTCCCTTCCCCATCCTTCCTTCCTTCCCTCCCTCCCACCTTCCCTCCCTCCCCCCTCCCTCCCTCCCCCTCCTCCTCCCTTTCTCCCCGCCTTCCCCCTCTCCCCCTCCCCCTCCTCTCTCTCTCATTAATGCGTAAAACACACTGCAGGCGTTTTCACAATTCGCGCGTTTTCGTAGCTTCAAAAAAAACTTCAAATTCCAATGGCGGCGTCTCACACAAAGGCTCGTAGTCATCAGCCTTTTCAAAGTTAAGTCGTCGCCGCCGCCAGCTTCTGGGAGCATCCGAACACGTCACCCGGAAGAAGAAGAAGAGAGAGAGAGAGAGAAGAAAGGAGTAGAAGAGAAAGAAGAAGAGAAAAAAAGAAGAAAAAGTGGAGAATAAAGAAAGAAATAAGAAAGGAAGAAAGAAAAAAAAGAAGTGGAGTGAAAGAAAAAAAAAAGAAAAAAAAGGAAATATAGAATGATAGAAGGAAAGAAGGGAGAATGAAAGAAGAAAGGAAGAAATAGAGAAAGAAAGATAAAAAAGAAAAAAAAAGCATAGAAAAAAAGAGAGTTTAAAAATAAAACTAGAAGAGAAAACTCAAAAGATAAAAAAAAAACTAAAACAGCAAACTCTAAAGACATAAATACAAGGTAAAAAAAAGACATAAATATTCACGGACAGACCCTAAGGAGACCACATTACTCCCCCCCCCCCCCCAAAAAAAAAAGTATCCTGGGTGACAACTGTATAAACATTTTAGGAAATAGTAAACAGCTGTAGTTCTCGAGACCTCTGGGGGGAGGGGGGGGAGGGGGGTATGAGGGCTGGTTAAGGAATATTGCAATATGGCAAAGCAGGAGGAGGAGGAGGAGGAGGAGGAAGAGAAAGAGGGAGGAGGAAGAGAAGGAAGGAGGAGGAGGAGGAGGAGGAGGAAGAGAAAGAGAGTAGGAAGAGAAGGAAGGAGGAGGAGGAGGAAGAGAAGTAGAGAGGAGGAGGAGGAGCGAGAGAAGGAATGAGGAGGAGGGGGAAAAGAAGGAAAGTGGAGGAGGGAGGAGGAGGAGGAAGAGAAGGAGGGAGGAGGAGGAGAAGGAGAAGGAGGAGGAAGAGAAGGAGAGAGTAGAAGGAGGAGGAGGAAGAGGAAGAGGGAGGAAGAGGTAGAAGAAGATGAGGAAGGAGGAGGAGGAGGAGGAGAAAAAGAGGGAGGAGGAGAAGGAGGAAGAGAAGGAG